GACAGCGCGAACCCGATGGGAACCGCTAAAAAGGTGACCTAAGTTTGAGAGTGCAGGCCGTCACATAAAACATCATAGTTCGATATAGGTATGCCCTCACCGGAGCGGCGGCCCATACTAGCAAGCAGGTAAAATATGTGGCACCAATTCTACAACGAAAAGGATTATCAATAACAAAGAACATTCGAAAAAACTTTGAAGAACTTACACAAGAAAATACATGATTGAATCTCGAATCAGGATCGTAACGATTTGAAGGCTGCTTTGGAAGAATGTGCCGTCTAATTTATGCGTCTGGAAGCCGCGAATGATGGCTAAGAGGCACAAAAGAAACTCGAAGGAAAGGATCGGAATCCAGAACGCATAAAAATGAGGGGAGATGTTATGTGGCACGCATGCAGGACCGCCAGGTATCAGGACAATATAAGCTGCGATAATACTGCTTCAGCAAGTCTTACTGTCAACAAAAAAAAAAAAAAAGATGCATACTTTGTATCTTTGCCAAGACCGTATACATCACATACGCCGAACTGGTCAAACACATAGCCCATAAGCTTAGCATAAACGCTAATATTTTCTTATCCAGAGAATATAGTGCATAGAGTCTCATTTGTAGGATGGCTGGTAGGATAGAGATATTCCATTAGCGTGTCTCAATTTAACTCTTCCATTGTGCACGACGAAGACATGCCTTCTGCAAGAACACAGGCTATCAGACCCGTCCAACCCTGCCATCTAAAAAAGGCGAAACCTTTTCAAAGGTTTTTAAGGATCAGAAAATGTAGGAGGTAGTAGGCACTCACACCTTCCCAAAAATCCGGTGGATTGTCGCGATTAGCGTGAGGTTATGGTTCGATTTAATTAAGCGCCCACGTAATACTCACGACTAACAATGTATCAGTCAATTCTCCGCGTGGAATGAAAATACAGACCTGACGCACCGATTCATCCGTTGCAGGAGCAAATAGTGCTACACATTCAATTGCGACGCAGTGAGTGCATACTCTCATGTAAGAGTCATTGCAAAATCACCCACCGAAGGTATTGAAGCTAAAAGGAATGTGTCAGCAGATGCCTTTGAGTTACGACAAGGCGACACACATAAAAGCACCCAATGAATAATATCGATTCTAACAGTAGTCCGAAAATGACAAAGGAATACACGGGGAGTAGAAAGGAAGATACATACCATAAGAAACAGAACCTTTCCCAATGTCCATTTGCTCCCCTGAAGCATGACCCTCGAATTTGTTTAGAAATTAATGTGGCGTCGAGTGAGCGCTTACCCAAATCAATTCGACCTGACGGGCAAAACGTCAACACAGATCCCAAAAGGGCATGCAACTGTGCGTACCTCCTGGCCTAGAGTAATCGCTATCAAGTTGAATAAAGAGGTAAAAATTACTCCAATAATTTAAACTTCTTCTTATCACCAGTGTGGCGCACCATGATCAAACACGATGATAACATTCCCCGCCACTGGGAAATCAAAAGGGTATTAAATCAGCGCCACATTACCATTAAGACGACAGGAGAACGATGTCATACATTGGGCGTATCGCTTTAGCTGGATATCGCGGACCAGTTCCGCAGACGCCATTGTCAACGTGGCCATCTTCGTGAAAGACTTTGTATCCCCGAAGCTACGCTAAGGGAGCAAGTTGCGCGCTGCTATGGTGTGTCGTTGAAGGGGCTACAAAGTGAACGAGATCTCAGCGCGCACCATGAATTTGAAAAGCAAGCGTGGGTGAGACCGCCTGTGGTGCTTTAACTGTATTCTAAATCTATGCTGTCGGGAGAAGAATGATGACATCGTGTCCGCGTGTTGATGTTATCTTGTCCAAAACCCATGTATGTATTCGTTCATTCCCAAGGATAGGTAGATAAGGGCCTTAAGATAAACTGCTGGATGATCAGGCCTTCAAGCTGCGTTAAGTTGACAAGTTTCAAACTGTTATTATGCGAAACAGGAGATCTCGGCGTGAATGTCGCGTTGTGACAGATCTCAGAGACCCATTTTATCTCGCTCACCTCCAGACCCGTTACTATTTTGAGGGACTATTCAAGGATACGAATGAAATGATCTCCGAGTAATTCAATGCATTCAATGCATTGTTATCATGCCTGGGATCTAGCAGTGCACTTATACTAGCAAAGGTGGGATGCGATGAAGATTAATACCCTACGGATCCTTGACTGCGAGCGTCGATGATGTGCCAATAACGCGGCACAAGAACCAATACGCAGCTAAAATCAAAAGGGTCCTGAGAAAACAACACAAAAGCTCTTGTCTCTCGATGGGAATCTCTTACTCTTTCCGTCCTTGCGCCGACCAGACAGGACCTGCAAGCTGTGCTACAACGGTGGTATCACAACGTAGATGCCAATATTTATTTTCACCGACCCGTTTCTGTAATAGCAGATAGAATTCAGTTTAGATAGAGCGCCAGGAAGCGACGCACGACACAACGATCCCCAAGGTAATGCAGACAACATAACATCCTTGAAAGCCTGCATGACGCGATGCCACGGAGAAATGCTCCCTCATCGGGGCCGAAAACCATCCAAAACGCAGCGAGTGTTATAATTAAGGATTTCCTACTGACCCCGTCCAAAAGATCCTTCCTCCCACGCGACTTCATTATAACATGTCGTCCAAGTCATTGGAGACCAATCGGCTGAGAGTCACCAAAGGAGCACCAAATGATCAACAACGCTCAGAAAGCTCGACATCACCGGGACTAACTATCTGTGCCACGACACGATAAGACCGTGTAGTACCGAGTAAATGTGTCAGTCAATTCTACGTTCACCAGATATAAATAGGCGCCCAGATCAATTTCAATCCCCCTTCACAAGCGCTCTTCAATCCCGCAACCAATACATTGATCAAAAACTACACAAACGACGCCGTGAAAATGTATGAGTTCGTGTATAAAGCCGTCAACATATATCTAAAGAATCTATCATGAAAACGGATGAAACCTGTTATGTGCGTACGCAAAACCAGAAATGCATGCTTTAATCACCGAAAGTCAAAGAAAAATAGCATTACACCGACCCGGTCAGAATCCAGGGGTTATTTATGTTCGCTTATACCAATACCAATCTATCCATGATCCCAATGCATCCACTGATTTCACCCTCCCTTCCTTCGTTCATGCCTTCTCACAATGTCCATAAGCATGACATCTATCCAGCAATCGGACTCAACCTCCCTGGACTCGCCAGCGCGGAACGCGTTGGGCTTCCACTCCTACTCGCTCGTCGACTCTGTCCATCATAATCACTCCCCTCAGCACGCAGTTCTGCATGTCCCATCTTTGTCAATTTCTCGTCAAAGTCACGATTACGGTATCCGGACACTATGCGCTCGAGTAATTCGGAGGTGGATACGCCGGGTGTGCGCCGGGTGGGAATGAATTTACCTGGCAAAAAGTTCGGCGGGTGAGCTTGGTGGAATGGGGGAGGGACACACCTAGACTCTTAACATATCCATAAACATCATCATGCCCGGCGCTGGCGTACGCGTCTTCGTCGTGCGCAACGTAGTCGATTTCATATTTCTTGAGGAAAGCTTCATCGATCACCCAAGGAGCCTCTGCAACGACTTCGTCGACCCATCTACAATGTCGGGCAGCCTCTAAGCTGGAAAAAGTTCAATTATATGCGCGTATATTTGAGGTAAATATACAATCACTCACCGTTCGGCGTGAATCATAACTGTACGCGCTTTATGTGACCATACCTGCTCGTCTGAATTTACACCAACGAGAAGGTAGACCGAGGGGAACGAAAGCTTGGCCTGTCGTAGTTGGAGTGCATGGCTATTGTTGCATGGCGCCGCAGTTCAGAATGACGCACGGAGGAGATGGAGGAGCAAAGCAGCGTACCCAAAATGGAAAAGATCATAAACGCCTATCAGGTGATGTCACAGAAAGAAAAAAATCAGACGCCAATGCACATTTGAAGATCAGTGAACGGCGAGCGAAATCGCAGGCGTTCAGCGAAGAAAGACATACCGTCTGCATACACCCGCACAGGCCGATCTGTGGGCGGAGGGTTGATCTTGTAATGGCGTCCAGGTTCGCCTGCGATGGCTTTAGCGACGAACGTTTGTATGTCTTCTGGGGTCAAAGCTGCGGGGTTGAACGCTGCCTTTGATGCCTGGGCTACTGCGGGCTCCTCCGTCACAAGTAGCGGTGCTGCAGTAGTGTTGACTGGTGGCGAGATGAAGACTGGCAACAGCGACCCTGGTGGTCGCTGGGAGATGTTGAATGTCGGCGACGTCGAGCTCGGACCTGACGCCTCGATGCTCGGGGTAGACTCGGGATCGCTGGGCATGGGTAACGATGGAAAAACGGGTGTTGTTGGGGGAGACAGGTGCTGGTGTTGGGGTGTGTCTGCGCCGGCGGTGGTGCTGGATTCTACGTCGCCGTCGTAGGTTGGCGAGTCGACGCCGTCCGAGTCTGAGAGGAGATGCTGGGCAAGATGGTGCCTTGGGCGGATGTTGGCGTTCTGTTTAGCATGCGCCGCGCGGGGCCCCCCGCCCTGCCGCGTTATCGCGATCGGAGGCGACGCGGCGGATGCCCCATCGTCCGTCAGCGGGTCATTATCCTCCTCAGATCTGCACATCTGATTAACCACCAGCACAGACAGCATTTCAACAGCAACTCACGCGTCGTACGCCGGGGAATCGACAGTCTTGGGGTACTTTCCAAAGGATCTCTTGCTGTGCAGCGTTCGCGTTCGCGTTTCGACCGACATCGTTGTAGTATATGGCAAAAATTAGCCCATCACACCTGTCACATTATCATAATCCTGTCCCCATTCCAATTTCCACGCCCTCTCCTAATCGATGATTGCACCAAACTCCTGTTATGATTTCCGGTTGTCAATAGGCTCCATTCTAGCTCTCACAACTCAAAATATATCGCGTCAGCGAGGGATTTAGAATAGCTTATGTGACTATAGAATAGAATATTCTTACTTTGATGTCGTCTCCGTTAGTATATCGGTTAGTACACGCGCCTGTCATTGGTAATGGTGCGCGCGAAAGCTGGGTTCGACTCCCAGACGGAGAGCTAATACTCTTGTTTATGCATTTTTCTCTCTTCTATATCCAGGGATAAATCATATTATTTTTTGGCGACAAGATTGATGATACACAATAACTCGTAGTGCATTCGTACTCATAAACATATGTATTCACGACTTTTGTAACTGACATGAGTGCCTACTTGTAGTGCGGCCGAAGATCGTCAACGTATTTGGGCATTTAATTTTCACGAGTGCAACGAATTAAAGTTTCAAGGCCTCTATATATTTATAAAAGGTCATCAGGGCGCGCTCTCAGTCCTATTAATATTGAAAGAGATGGTGATGACGCATGTTCAACTTGTGGAGTTCTGAAGTCCCTCCATCACCATTCCAATTGAAGTGGTTCTGAGCTTGTATTGCCCTTCCGCGAGTCACTCCCAAGAAGACTGAGTAGACGATCTTAGATATGAAGTAAGTGACTTGTAGTTTATCATGAATGTAGCATACTCAAAGAAAAGGTGTTGCAGCTGAGTGCCGAGAGCTACTACGCTTAACATCGTACATACCCCGGACCCGCTCAAACCCTGCTTTCAATTCAATGTGGGTGATGCAATTTTCCACATTATCTCCCGCACAGGGAAACGACCAGTCGTATTCCACCTTTCCTCAGGAAATTGTTGACGCTATCATTGATGAGCTGGCGCAACCAGCCATTGGAGTCGGAAGCCCCGTACAAAACCTCCGTGCTTGCGCTCTTGTCTCAAAAGCATTTCATGCCTCGGCTTCCAGACACCTGTTTGCGAAATTACAAGTCACATACGATCTACGCGTTGAAAGGCGAATGAAAAGATTGCGCGAAGTATTAGAGGCCAATCCGAGCCTGTTGCCACAGGTCCGTTGCCTCAAGATCTTCAATGCTCTTCATGGTCGCCTTCCTGCATTCTACAAGCGTCAACAATCGAAGCTAGCAACCTTCTGCGACAGATTTAGTGTATCAAGGGTCCAGGATGACCTTGTGTGTCTTCTGCAGCGCTTTCTCGTCGCGAACATTTCAGAGCTAGAGATCGTTGGCACCGGAAAATATCCCGCCTATTCAAGTTGGACCCAATTTCCTGCAAGGATCGCCGAACTCTTGGTCTCCATTGCACAGTCAAATTCTCACATCCACACTCTAAAATTATCGTCTATGCAAGACCTTCCTTCCATCGTGATTCGAAAAGAGGGTCAAAACGCCCTCCCTGTTAATAATTTCGTTCACTGTTTCTTTTCGCTTTCTGAACCTCCTATCCATATCTTCGAGAATAATTTCACAGGCACCCAGAGCTCTGATGAAAATTCGCTCCTTAGCACGCAAAGCCTTCGGAGGCTGAACATACAAGCGTTGTACATTAACGCAGCCTTACCTTTAATTATTGATCCAACTGTTCAATTTCCCAAGCTCGAATTCTCTTCTCTCTCATTTAATACCCCGCTCCAAGCCCATATTCTGCGGCAGGTATTGACAAGCGTCCCTCCTTTATTAAAAGAGCTACGTCTTATTGTAACTCACAATGAGTTGTCTCGTTTTAAAGGTACGTTGAGGGTTCCCTTTCCCCTGCCTCTTTGCGTTTACTAACCTTGATGCACAGCGCTTTTATCCTCTGCAACGCCAACAAAACACAATCCCAAATTACCCGCTTTAAAACTTCTAGATCTCTTTCTTCCTTTGGATCCTACTGTTTCCGCTGATATACAAAACATGATCCAGGCATTATCCATGTCTCTCGGTAGTCCTATCTTTCCCCTTAACATCCCGATGCTCAACTTCAGAATCTATACGATGAGGTACTACCCCACTAGGGTCGACATTAACGACACGGCTCCGTTGTTCATTACTTTATTCAATTCCCTTGACGAGGTTTTATGCGGTCATGCTCGTTTGCAAAGATTGAAAACAGTAGGGCTCTGTTTATTTTATAGGGACGACTTCATTGCTCGTTGGTGCGAACGCGTGAAGCGGCTCGCGACTGATATGGACATGCCGTTGTTTCCTCGCTTATCTTTGAATGGTGTTGTAGTGACGATTTCGGCGGAGGAAGCCCAATTTTGAAGAGGGTTTTTTGTTGTAGTCGAGCTGTTATTGGTTCATATTTTTTTGCTCTTGTCTTTGTCGAGCCGCCACGAGATTATGGTATGACATATTCACGCCGTTCATAATTTCTACATACTTGATAATCTTTCGTCTCCAGTGAAAAGTAAAAGTTCAAGAACTAAAGATGCGATACCCCACTGTTTTCACCACATTCGACATTTAGTAGTCACAATTGCAAAGCGCGTCTGCCAAGCATTTATGGATTTCCTAAGAAAGGAACTCGTTCTACATTTGGAGATGTGGTGTTTGTAATAATGTAATTCCAACTTCCCAGCCATATACGATACAATGCATATCAAATGTATGTGAATCAATATTTATTATTTTAACGGTCGTCTTTCGTTGACTAGGAATTTAGCAGACTTTCTAGGAATAGTAATCCAGTGGAGATATATCCCTCCCATCGTGCTGCACTACACATTGCGAAGATACTTTTTACGTTCGATAGCGCCATCTGCAAGGGCCCAGCCGACCTAGCCTCAAAGCTGGAGCTTATGTAGGAAGAAATTTTTGAATAATTGTGACCAAAAGCTGCTGGTACATATGCATTTTTATTATCCGAAGTTATTTCCTGGAGATATTTTCTCCCGGCTTTTGACATGGAATGTCGTAAGAGTATTTCCATGTGGTTTATTAAATTCTTATGAAACGTGAGTTACATACTTGGCCATCGGCGATGTACCAGCACCGGGGATATTCATCATGTCGTTTTATTTCTGCCACCCAGCGCTAAGATTAGAAGCTTTGAATTTCGATTTGCGATTATTGGTGCCTCCTCGAAGCCTGTTCTATAGTCTACGTTGGTCATCCTACAACCCATAATTTGCATCTTATCAATAATTATATCGACTTTATTCTTCACCACAGGTCCACACATTCGCCAAACATTCGCCAGCCTTCAATTCATTTTGTCTTGATCACCTTAGCAACGGCATCAGGGGCCTGGGGAGACTCATTGGACTTTGTGCTGTGAGACCTGTTTTTGTTTGCTAAGCATACGATCAATCTCTTGATCCCGCCCGCCATGGTCGACGACGCCCCCGGTCTCAAGCGCTCTCGTCCTCCAAACATCGACCTCACCCGCGCTAAGCAGAACACGGGCCCCGCCATTCATGTTGCAGACGCAGACGACGATGAAGCGTCTCTTCTCCAGCTCTCAGACGACGACGACGACGACTTCCAGGACACCCTCCAGCTCTCGGACTCGGATTCGTCTGACTCAACATCCCCGAGTCGTGGCGCGCGGAGCGGGTCGTTGCTAAATATCACCCCGACAGACGAGGACGATGATATTAGTAAAGATCTCGCTGAGCTTCAGCAGCTGCGTCAGAGTGTCAAGACGAACTTGCGTCTGAGGCCCATACGTTCACGCAGTAATCTCCCCAAAATCGACCTCGACATCGACGCCGTAATCTCAAAACTGCCATATGTTCCCAACGGGATGCCTTCGAAAACGAATGGTGAAGGCTTTGCGGGAGGACCACAGAGTGCGACGAGTCCGCAGTCGACTACTTCGACCTATTTCACTCCGATAGAGACACCCTTCACGTCGCTTTTCTCTGCTATCGCCAGCAAGCACCGCACCACCTCTGCCTCGTCGCCGCTTCCGACAAATGGTCTGTCTCCGGCACCGTCGAGCGGCGGGTTCCCACCCGCAAGCACACCCCTCTCCTCTGCATTCAATGGAAAGCACCGCATCACACCTGTATCATCGCCACTACCCCCGCTACCCGCTGACATTGCCCGTCCGATCGCTCCAAAGACCCTCTACGATCGATTGTTGTCGTCGAAACGGCCGCTCCTCATTGATACCCGAGCCCTTTCGATCCACCAGGCATTCCATCTGCGGCACAGTATCCACATTGCCATACCCTCGCTCATACTCAAGCGATGTCGAAAACCTGCGGGCGGATTGCATTCGCTGGATGCTCTGCGCCAGTTCATCACAACAGACTATGGGAAGACGCAGTGGGATTTGCTTATGGCGGCTGGGGGTCCATGGGACGGAAACGTCGTGATATACGACGACGACATGGATGTCAAAGACAGGGATAACCTGAGTGCCACAGCTTGGGCCATTATGCCTGTAATCTCTCCACTCTTGACATACGGTAGGATCGAATACCTGGAAGGGGGACTTTCATCTGCCGGACACGACCCTGATCTACAAACCTTGATCGTCACGGAGAGCGAGGTTGAAGAAGAAGAGGCGTCATCACTTTCGTCGAATAGCTCCTCGACACCTCCAGCGAACGGTGGGTTCCAGAGTCGGAAGGGTAGCGGACTGTCACAGCTCGACACACAAACCGCCTTGCGCTTCAAGAAGCTGCCCGAAATCGAGCCAGCCTCAACAACATCTTCTAACCCACCATCTCCCGTCTTCCCGCGCTCACCCCTCCCAATGATGCCAGCCGTCACCTCCTCACGATCTGGATCATCACCTCAACACCATCTGACAGTAGATGATTCTACGCCCTCTCCACCACCGTCATCTATCAACTTTCGCCGTCCTAACCCTCCCCGTCGCCCGAGCGTACCTCGCCTTAAAGGATTGGATACTCGTTCCGCGGAGCGCCTCAATCCAAACCTTCCCAAACTATCTGTACGGACTAAACCAACCCGCTCAGCAACTCTGGGACCGCCGTCACTCTCCATCAATATTGGTCCACCACAATCACCGTCACATCTACAACTGATGTATTCCAATCATTCACCACCTGTTTCTGCACGAATGCATCCCACTAACAACCCGTTATCACCCTCTCATGATGCTGCCAATTACCTAACACCCTATTATACCCCGCCTCACACTCCCGGTACACCGCGGCAGTTTCCTCCATCACCATCGACCGCTCGGCCAGACCTTGATCCACCGACAACAGAAGAAGCGTTTCCAGTCTTCACGGTGTCTAC